CATGCTGCATTTGATTGCTTTTTGTTCTGATTCTCTATTTCCCCTGTGGCCATCTTCTTTTTTTCTGGGGGTTTTTTCCTACAGACTTCTGCTCCATGCCCGTAATTTTGACAGTGATTACACCGTGTCGGTCTTCACTCATAGTATACAGGTTGCTCAACTAGACTACCCTGTTCATCCACAAAAGTTGCAATTAGTGGCGGAAAATCCTGAATTTCCACATCCACAAGGACCATTGCAAATGTAGCCCTATCTTTCTCCGCTGTCATGGCATCTGCAGCAATCGGCCTTCCTAGTATACTGGCTATACGGCTGAGGGTTACCGGATTCCAATGTTTCAGTTCAAGCCCGGGTAGTTGAATCCAGACTGGGACGTGTTTAATTTCCTTGTAATTCACTCCTTTCTCCACCTTCCACGGCTTAACTATCACTGGATTGGCCCCTAGGTAATTCATTAGCTCTGCTAGGGCTTCTTCCACAGCTTCCATAGTTCTAAACCGGATCACAAATAGGCCTGTTGGCAGCAATAGTACTTTATCAACCCCCAAATTCTTCCACAACCTGCGTTAGTATGCATCCATGACTTTGTAAGGAGGGTTTGCTCCTAGAACAAAGCTTATGACGGATGATTTCCAATACTCCATTTCAGGTGTGATATCTGGCTGTCGGACCATCGCGATTTTCTTCCCCTCTTGCTCTATTGGCTGTACAAACTGCAGAGCGACACCCCCCTTCTTAAGCTTCTTTGCATCAATCGTTTCCCAAACCGATGTTTGCATCTGCGTTTCCAATCCTTCAGACCAATCCAATTTGCAGATTGGATTTATTCCCATCAGTTCGCTCAATTCCTTTGCTTGTTGCTCTAGAATCCTCCCCATCTTTGCATCAATTGGTGTTTCCAGACCTTGTTCTCGATCTTGAGTTTTCTTGTCTCTAGATGAACTCGCCCTGTGTAGATCTCCTCTATTCTCTTGTTCCTCACATGAATCTCTTGGTGAATCTTCTATTCTATCTTCTCGCAGCTCGATCCCTACAGATCTCTGCGCCTTCCGCCACTTCGCTCTCCCCGTTGCCATGGCAGGCGCACGATAACGGGGAGGCTAATCGTGCACCGAGAGCGTAGAAAGACGAAGAGAGAGGTTTTCTTTTAAGTATTCTCTAATCATCGCAATTTTTTTTAAGTCAAATAATTCTCAAAATTACCGTTTCAAAAAAAAAAAAATTCTCAAAATTTTCATTCAATGTATATATGCAGCGAATTGTTGTGTACATGTTAGTTACCAATTGATATAGCTAGCCAGTTTACCAAAAGAGCCAGTTGTTTTCATTTATTTATAGCATCCAAAACGAATTTAGGTTAAAAGGACATATTTATCCATTTCCAAAATAACAATACTTTTTTATCATCTCTCACCTCTCGGTGCCCTTCTAAAATTTACATCCTAATTAATTTCTCACCTCTCATTGCCGATCATAACAAATTCAAGTGGTCTTTGAATTGCCAGAATTTCCATATTCAAAGAAGAATGCTCATTTTTGGAGTCGGGGTAGACAACATTAGACGTGGGGTAAGTTAAAGTCCACTACTCAATTAACAAATCTATAATGAAAATTCATTCAATTTTAAATTTGCCCAGAAAGAGAGAACGAACAAGATAGCATGTTCGATTTGAAGGAAAGAAAACAACGATTATTTATGATTTTGTAATATTAAAATTCGGTTATTGTTTATGTACCAATACCTTTCAAATAGTAATTGATAATTTGAAAGATTATATGCTGACAATTGATTTTCTTGAGGTAAATATTGTCGGGTTTCAACAGGATTAAAACTTAGAACACTCTAAGAGGGGCAAAACAAAGTTATTCTTATTTTTGCTTGGGGTGAGGGAACTATAAAACTATGGAGCTCGAGTTGTTTGAAACATCAGAACACGAAGAAGACAATTTTCAGATTTTGTTTTTTTTTCCTGGTGTTGCCTAGGGCAGAAGAGGGTTGTGATATGAGTTTGTGGAGGGACAGCGAGAGATGATGAAAAGTGGTGTTAATTTTTTTCAAATGATGACGATAATAACGCAAGAGCAATCATTAGTCGGAAAGTGGTATTATATCGATAACAGGTGTTGATTAATCTGGTATGTTTGGTCTCTCATACGGCAATGTGGAAGACTGAAAACCAACATACTATTGTTGGGGCAAGATTAGTTCGTGAAGTTTTGAAAAAGAATTACACTTTTTATCGATCTGATATCCAATTCGATTAGCTTTGAAAAGTTTCATCGAATTTTGTTGATCTGATCTTATTGATATTTTGGGTGTATTGGGAAATCATATTCTCTCATGTTTTAAACAGAAGTGCGCGTCATCCTGATGCTCTCTGACGGAAGACAATTGGAAGACATTATCTTGTAGGATAAATACTCCTGTACTCCTTGACCTCTTTTTGTGAGAACTGAGAATGGTTAAGGGTTTTTTAACATTGTAACAGTGATGAAGGTTGTTAATACTTAATATTGTTTTCTTCTAAAGCTCTAGGACCTGATGCTATTTTCTGAAATTTGGTTTGAGAAATGCAGGATTTGATTATGCTTCTTCAATTGAGATCAGCCACCGAGTTGATGAATCAGACTCTTTAATGCATAAATTTACAATTAATTAATAGTGTTACACTCCTCTGTCCCAAAATTATTGTCCAGTTTGAAATTTCACTTTTAGTACGATTTGAACTAAAAATGAAAACCAAAACTGGACAATAATTATGGGACGGAGGGAGTATACTTTGTAAAATGGTTTACTCATAAAATGCATGAATCTTAATTTTGTTTTTTTTAATAAATTTTTAGCTATCAAATTATAACATTCTCCAAACGAGCTAAGGTACCAAACAAAAAAGTTGTCTAAACATCAAAATCAAATCGTATTTCAATCGATTAATTCTTTCAATGAATAAATTTTTCAGGATACACTACATATTGAATGATAATATAATCCTCCAGCCCACATCTAGGTCCGTTTAGGTTCCAGGTAGCCATGCAATGGGACTACGTTTTTGGGGAAAGAACACGTGCTTAACCAAATGTTCATGTCTTAGCCTCCTCAAAGTTCTTGAAGTATGCAATGGAAGTATGGAGTATGGACTTTATAAAGATCCCTAGTTCAAGTAGTTCTGCAAACTTGCAGTTGACACTCGGGGGAAAAAAACCAGCACTAAGTGAACAAAGCACAAGAAGCAAGATCATGCAGTTAAATGGCGAAAACAACCACCCCCTGATCACCTCCCATCCAACAAAAAGATCAAACAATAATGCTTATATGCTAGAGCTAGAGCTAGAACCACATTCAACATCATTCTCATTTTTTCAGCAACTGCAGTACTGCACAAATTGTAAACACATAATGATGTCTAGCACTAGGAGTCAATTGTATCAGGAAAGCGTGCTACGAGATCTAAACAAAAGTCAACCTGAATACCCAATCAGCATTACATCTTAAGTCTTAACCAACTACACTTAGGGCCGAGGACAAGTCATCAACCTACAGTAATCAGAAAAAAAGCCTCGACATAAAGTTGATTATGAAGCACTCATCAAGAGCTTTGCACTTCATAAGCTGGAAATTTAGCACTAGCGGGTTGGACCATGTCAAGGAAAAGATACGCCATGCCTCCAATTCCTTCAAAGAGTGAGAAGGGGTGATCTCCTCCTCGCATCTCCCCTTCTGACAACAGCTTCTGACCTCTGTCGAGCAAAAAGCACGCAAATGATTTTGCCTTGAACCGAAAATCTGGACTCCCTGTGAGCCGATAGAGAGCATGAAAGACATAGGCATTTCCACTTATGCCATGACAGATCCCTACATGCTTGAGCAGTCCACGCTCCCACACCACATTGTTCGCTGCATCAACAGCCGCTTGTGCAAAAACTCTATTACGAAAAAACTGCGGATACATAATTACCCTGGTTCAGGAAGCTGCCATTTTGAATATAATAAAAGAAATTTTGATAATATACATTTTGAGTTTCCAGAAAACGAATTGTGGCACAAAATTTAGAGCAGACCATGATATATCACTCTTTGGAATACTAGCAAATCTAGCAGAAAGCAGGGTTTTATGTGTAATAATACTACTGTGAATTTTGATATGCATCAAGGAATCACACTAAAGGTTAAGAAAAGATTCAAGTCTTGATGCACAGAACTCAATGAAGATTAATAGCCATAAGGTGACACTTGAAGGCATATAACTACACACGTAAAGCCAGCAGTAAAACTCTAATCATATTCCGAGAAAACTGCATCTTATTTCTGTATTCGCACAAAGAAACAGCTTATGAAAGTATGCCATATAATACATATTAGCCAGCAGTAAAATAACAATCATATTCCCAGAAGACTGCACTGAATGTGTTTAAAGCACAAGAAAAATCTTTAAAATGTGTGAGCACAAGTACAGGACATGAAAATATGCAAAAGACATTCTTATTAAAGGGCATAAGTTCAGTTGAATGGAAGTAAAATCAGCTATAAATTAGTGGCCAGTGTTGTAACGATTCTCATCCTCGACAAAGTACTGTTCCATTTATGTTAAGGATTTACCTCGCATTACAACAAAAATGGGCTATTAATACCTTTATGGTGTGACATTTTTCCTAAAATGTGTCTTATTATATGTGTATTAGGACACTTGCTAAAAAGTGTGTTATTGAAAATGAAAAGTGTATTCATATTATGAAACACTATCATAAGTGTACTATTTGGGGTTTGCTTGTGAACTATTACCTTACTTAATGGGTCACTTTAAAGTGTGTTAATGAGTGACAATCTAATAATACACTTTCAAATATTTTATGATTTATTGTGTCTCAATTATAGGAGACACTATTTAGTAGTGTCCCAAGCCAGTTGAGTCAAATGTGTCCTATTACTCATTAACACACTCCATTAGTAATAGGACACATTTGACTCAAATTGCTTGGGACACTACTAAATAGTGTCTCCAATAATCGAGTCACAATAAGTCATAAAATATTTGAAAGTGTATTATTAGATTGTCACTCATTAAGACACTTTAAAGTGACCCATTAAGTAAGGTAATAGTTCACAAGCAACCCTAAATAGTACACTTATGATAGTGTGTCATAATATGAATACACTTTTTCATTTTCAATAAAACACTTTTTAGCAAATGTCCTAATACACATATAATAAGACACATTTTAGGAAAAGTGTCCCACCATAAAGGTATTAATAGCCCATTTTTGTTGTAGTGTCGGCAGCCTTGACAAGAGTGAGTGCAATTCCAGGGGCTCCATGACACCAATGCACAAGCAAGTCACTCTTATCTTCTTTACATGGAGGGTAGTTTCCACTGGGAAGGCGGTTCTTTATCATGTGAAAAAGTGTTTTCTTGACCTCCTTTCGCTGATTTTCCTTCAGATTGAAGTGCATCAAGACATGCATGATTCCAGCCAATCCATGAGCAGCACCCCAGTGATTCTTGCCATTCCACTGGAACATTAATCGACTTCCACCCTTTCTTCCCAACTTTCGGCCATTGCTGAAGATTTTGTCGATAACAGGTGCTTGGCATTGGCAAGTCAATGAATTATTGACTCAAGTCAATGAAGAAAATTTCACCCTTACCAATTGGACAGAGGAAATGGTTTCTTTGCCTAAATGTGTGTTGATGAAGAGACATGCCCACAGGTAACCAGCTCTACCGTTCAAACGTCCATCAGACAGATCCTCTGGCAGTTTAATCTGTTTACAGAAGTCAATGCAGACATAGTATCCAAATATCGGAACTACCAAAACCAAAAAAAGGACTAATATACAAGGTAGAGAAGTATCCATGCATGAAACTAACCTGTTTCAATTTGATCACATAGGAATCCATCAGGTCACTGTCTCCCATTGAGTACGCCACAACGGCACCAAGGGCACAAACTCCAGCTCTCCCACAAATGAATGAAACGTCCCTGGTAACAAATAGCAAAAATGTGTCAAAAAAATCTATTATATGTGTGAAAATTTCAAAAGAAAAAGAAAAGGCAAGAATGACCAGGGGGATTGATCACCATATGGAATTCATACTCGAGGGAAATGGTACAGGTTCCTATTTCTCTAGTTCAATCAATAAGGTTCCACTCACAAACTTTTACAATTAAAAAGCTGTCCAGTTTTTCCTCCTCCCTTTAATTAAAAATGTGAAATAACAGAGCAGGGGAGCAATTTCTCCGCTACATTCTCCTACCCCCCAAACAAATCCGGTGGGGTATATATGTTGAGTTCTAGAATAAAGGAGGAAATACAAGTTAAATGGCTTAAAAATTCAAATAAGTAAAATAACTACCATTGAAGAAACTTGCAACCTAACCACCAACCCTTGCATTCAGTCTCATTCTGCTTTCTTTCACAAGTCCAAATTACGTCCAGCCATAGTTCGAACCATGAACATTTGCTAGTAACCCATCTTAATCCCCATCAACACTTCGTGTGCATCAACTCAAAGAAAAATTATAAACAATATTTTACTTCGTAACACTGTACCACCTAAATTTGTACAGCAAAAGATGAGAAAGATGTACTTTTACTAGGACAGTTAGCAAAAAATTTTAGAGCCCAATGAACTATCTCTTTGTCCCCCTTTTATTATTTTTTTCTGCTCAAATTTTAGGCTCTGTTTAATAATCACTTAATATAGTGACTTAATTAATTTAAGTACTTAATAAAATTAAGTGTGTTTGATAATCGCTATTAAGTCTTAATGAATTAAGTTCTGAACTAATTAAGTACTTATTAATTAAGTACGTTTGATAACTAAAATTTCACTATCTGAATTAATTAAGTGCATCTGAATGGTCAGTTCAATTGAGAGCCAAAAAATAAGTGATAAGCCTACCACTTATCACTTATCACTTAACACTTAATTTCTGTATTGATTGATTTTTTTTCCTTTTTCCACTTGTCTTTATTTCAATGCTTATTTTTACATTGTTTTAAAATTTTTATTATCTTAAGATAAATTTATTAAGAGTGCTTAAATTTGAATTTATATTATGAGCATAAAAAATCCCAAACTTTCAAACTAAAATTAAACTAATTTTAATACATAAAATTTTCTAAATAACAAGATATGTATATATATATATATATATATATATATATCTTGTTATTTAGCAAGTGTAATATCTACTTTCATTATATACACCAAAAATTTATTTTAAAATTATTATTTTATTATTTATAACAAAATATTAGTTATTTTTCAATTTAAAAGAATTTTGTTTATAATTCAATTTTAATGATATTAAAAATTTAAATAAATTTCAGACCTGAGTATTCAGATTCAGTCTTCAGACTTCAGACTTTAGTCTTCAGACATCGAATTCAGATGTTTTTATCAAACAATGTAAATTCAGTCATCAGACTTCATACTTCAGTGTTAAGTGTTAAGTGTTCAGATTCAGATTTCAGTGATTATTAAACGGAGCCTTAGTTCTCTAAAAAAATTCATAAATATTGCAATAAAATTACTTCATTATTAAAAAAAGTTTCTGTTACGTTTGTTTTTTTATTAAACCATAGATTTAATACATATACCCAGTCAAAATAAAATTAGATCTTCGAAAAGATGTCTCATAATAAGTTCTTACTCACAAATTTTTAGTCTTACAGTGGGATTATGGAGGAAGCTTGTGAATGTTGCGATGTCGAATGCATATACTTTTATTTGGTCACCCACGTTTGTGAATGGTGCTTTGTATTGGATTTCTCTTCGTAACAATACTGCCAAGGTTTCATGTACTAGTCTCATACTCAAGTTCAATATCGAAACCGAATTGTTCAGTGAGATCATGCTACCTGATGAAGTCTCTTGTTTTGCATTGGTTTATTCAACATATCTGTTAGTGTTTATATGGGTCATCTTTCTGTGATTACATATCACAGAGCCGAGATGAATGGTTATTCCTTTGGGTGGTGAAACAATGTGGAGTTTCGGAGCAATGGAGGAGGACCAATAGACCAACCGACCAGGGTTACCCACGATTTTGAAGAAGATGGCCCGAATGATAGTAAGAAAGTAGCAGAAAGAAGGATGGTGAAATTTAAATTACTACTCTTGCACCCTTCATTCACCGTTTTAATTTTGGTAACCCTTGTCGTCATGGTTGCTATTGCAGCATTCTTACTCTTTTGAACCAATGTTGACGCGCTGAATCTTCCATGAAAAACGCATTAACATTCATGTTATCTGTTCTTTTGGTCAGGATAGTTCTTCTTGCGTTGAGCACTAGGATCTTTTTGTACTTTGATATTGTTGCGACAATCAGGCATTTTTCTAGAAAGATTTTTGAGAGGGTACTCCGTCGATACTATGCCATGTTATGGATTGACTACTTCATTAGTTATACAAACTTGTTGATGCTGGTCTCTCTTTTTTTTTTTTTTTTTTTTGCTTCTTTTATTACAGCTATTCATACTAGCATTAGGAAAATCCTCGACATGCATCGATTTGGAGATTCCTTTGTTTGATTAATCTCTTCCCCAAATTGTTTTCTCTCCTTTTTTTTTTTTTCATCATGCTAAAAGAAAAGCTCATCCTTATTTAATTCATGAAGGGTTGATTTTTTAATAGAAGCCAGCATTGCTGTTAGAAAGAAAAAAATAATAATTTGTTTAGGTTTTCCGATGAAACGTTCAAACAACCGGCCGGAATTTAAAACAAGCTCACTCTCTCTAGATACAGGGGAGATAGGTGCATAACAAAACATTAACTGAAAAGGTGTGAACTAGCTTATTAGTCATCCAATTCCTCAAACTGTAGATTGAAATGCGGAAATGATTAAAGGTTTCATTTGAAGAATAATTTGCCTAAACGAAAGTGATTGCTTTATATGGCCCTAAGATAACCACTTCAATAATGTCGCTCTGAAATGGATTGCAACTTCCTTAAACACAAATTGCAGGAACACAAATGGTATACCAGCATCTATTTCAGGAAAAGAAAGTTACAGATAATGTGATGGCATTATATAATGAATGGATTAAAATTGGAGAACCAAGGTTTCCAGACCAACAATACGAGCACCCAAGGACACAGCCAACAATAAACAATTGCAAGAAATTCTCAGGAGAGAAGTGAGATGCACTAAACATTGCAGAACTCAGGAGCACTGCTTCATGCCACTTCATAGTGCCTGAAAGGGATGTCAGCAGATACCCTCTATACACAAGTTCTTCAAGAAAAGGTGTGATGACGCAATAGACTAGAATACAAGGTATGGCGGAGGTTGGACCTGTTGAGAGAAGATTCTGTAACATTGGATTGTTTACCTCCTGCACAAAAGCGAGAAAAATTATCATCTAAAACCAAGAAGCAACATATGCTATCAAGCATCAAAGAAACGTTATTCCATGTATAAAAGGCGACCTTGCTGAGGTTTAGTAGAAGCATCATGGAATCCCTGGAAAGCTAAAGAAACTAAACATCCCATGTAATTAGTAACTTCCTAAACAGATCTTTAGAAGTCTTAAAAGAGGACCAAGATACCTGTCAGTATATAACGGGCCCTAACGTTTACGGAAAATATTTGACAGGGCTCAGCAAAGCAGAAAGCACAATCTAACTTCAAAACTTCAACATGTTGCTTCTTTTTTAACTCTTCAATCTTCACTACATACCCTCTTCTGGGAATTTCTATTTTATCTTATTTACTAGAGCACCTAGGAAGAAAGGACATGCAGATAATGACAAACCATAAGACAGAAGCACTTGGGATGCTTGAGCCCATAAGAAATCACGTAGACATCTATTAATGGTAATAAGGACAGGGTGGAAGAAGGAAGGGTATTCTCGAACACGTGAAAGGATCCAATGAATTCGATCCCAAAGCCTAGAATCTGAGACGATGCACATGTTCCATAAAGATTATCTAGAGTCCCTTCCGTTTAAATCAAAAGTTTCCTCAGTGTTATTTATGAATGATTTACTTTAACTTTAAGTTGTCTGCTCTGAAAATTTCATCATTATCTTCAAATATCCAAGCTTTTCCTGGCATTCTAACTAGAAAACAGACCCGAGTAGTGTGCAGTCTCAGACTAATCACAGCAGACAGGATAGCAGAGGTAATTGCATGAAAGTTAGACTCCCCTCTTGAATTGCTAGAGAACACCCAAAAAACCCCAGTCCATATTTTCGTGTTTTTCAGCAGGTGAACACTAACAAGAACATCAAATAACGCCACTCTCTTTAGATACTTCTCCTAGTTAAAAAGGGATATACCACAGGAAATGCGAATTGTTCGGCAGAACATCAATGTAAACAAATCAATATAATGTAAAAGCTGACCTCAGGTCCCAGCAAAAGGTCTGCCACAATTGATGTGGCAAACACCAAGCAAATGATAGATAAGAAACCAATGACTGATGCTCGCAACCAGTTCCTATCTGCAGTTATTCCATCAGTTTGGAAAAAGTCGAGAACATTGTACTGGGGCTTCACAAGAGTTTTAAGCAGTAGCAGAACCACTAATAGCTCTGAGATTTCTAGTCCAAGTAATGATGATGCCTTCAAAAATGTAAAGAGGAAAATAAAATCAAAATCGGCAGGCTACTGCAGTATTGCTTAAGAATAATTAACTACCATGTCATTATGAAATTATTTACTTCATACAACTTGCTATATACCACAGGGACCTTCAAATTAGTTTTGAACCACTATGGTTGCTGAGACGTTTTGTTTGATCTTTAGTAGATGTCACATTGAAGAAATAACCACGATCATCATGCTCATAGATTTCCCAAAATAAGCGCACTGATCACTCAAAGAAAGCAAGAACCCAAAGCTTCAGTTACCAAACTGTAATAAATCAACTTAAGACATCTTGGATATCAAAACTAGATGAACTTCAACCTTCAAGAAAGATGAATGGAAAACTGATCCACTGAACTGAATAGTTTCATCACCTGAACAGGGCGAGTCACATAAAACCTTAGGCTGGTAAAGGATAAAACCTTTAGCAAGTCAACCATAGAGGCGCACTTTAATGATAGTTTAAACCAGAAAAGCAATTTTAATTGCTCCAATACACACGCAAGAATAACATTTCAGAAGGCATCAGAATAGCTAAGTGATACTTTTGATTTTAAGATCACCGAGGGCAATGAAGAATGGCTCAGTCATCAAGATAAAGTCCTTGTTTAGTTATTATATTATTGATGTCAGGGAGTAGAAATCAGAAAGACAGACCAATAATTATAGACATTTTCAAAACGTTTTTGAAAGTCTCTTTTCTTGTTGCTTTTGGATGACAGAAAGAAACCTCACTATTTCTACACACATAAGGTGGGTAGCAGCTAAAAATAGAAGCTTCCCAAAAATAAAGCTGTCTTTCGTCACCAAGTGGAATACTTGCAAGATAATAAAGAAATTTACTCACCACAGTTTGTGGATCAAGTACAGGTCGATGCAGTATATTGGCAACGGCGGCCAACCCACCGAAACTTAGAGGGACATGCAAACTGAAGACATAAAATGCCATTGTGCTAAATATGGTCCCCCTATCACATTGAATGTCCCTCTCCAGCACAGAGAAGCCCTGATGAAAGAAATATTGTAAAATTTAGACACTTCAAAATGAACATAAAATGAGATGTTCAGACCGTTGCTAATAACTCAGTAAACATAAAAAGTTGAGCATCAGTTCCTAGTACATACAACTCGGCTCATATGAGAATGCTTGTGCACAGAATCAAAGGTAGTAAGTGTGAGCATTTTTTTCTGATACACTTCCTTCCAAACATAGCCAGCTGTTATAGCTAAATGACCAGTTTCCCATTTTTTGTAACTTCAGCATTCCAGTTTCACTGACTCAAAAGACACAAGAACCCGATTCAAGAAGTCACAAACACAACAACGGACAATTGAATACTATATGCTACTGTAATGACCTTAATTCTCCAGCAGATAATCTTAACAATCTTTTGGCTGATAATATAATCAAAATTGACTGAATACAGAGTAACTTCAAATTATAGACAGGGAGAATGAAAACGAGGTAAAGGAGTTCCTCCATTGGTGACTTGGAAAAAATTGAACACAGAAAGCCAAGCTTTCAGTAAGGATGAGAAAAAAGGATAGATTCGGTAAGATAGCCTCATAAAGACATGCTCAAAAATCCACATCCTCTATACATTATTCGTAGAAAAAATCCTGAATTAGAAAACATCCATCCAGCAACCTAATTACCTACATGTAAGCTGAAAGGAATAAATCTCTTAATCAAAGATTCTATCTTTATTAAATTCAAGCATAGACATAAAAGAGGAAAAAGAAACAGAGCCAAAGGAACCAACAATTTGAAAAGCTTGATTAATCATTTCACCCAACAATCTTATACACAACACATAACCAATAACCCATATGGAATTCTTTACTTATAAGTCCAAGAAAGTGAACATACCAAGTGGGATTCTTTTGATTCTTCATTCTTGGAGGAACGGCACTTGAAAATCAAAAGCTTAATTTTAGTACTGAAGAACAACCGGGAGGTGGATATATGCTGGGGAAAGTGTTTAGTAGAGTTGAGGGGCATCAGAGAGACAATTGGTCCATTTCTTACGAATTTGCTCATCTTTTAATGCTGGGAAGTTGCGCCCAAAATGACTGGGATAATGTGAAATTGTGAATATATATACTCTTTGCTCTTTTCCAAAAAACAAAAAAAAACAAAAACAAAAAATATACTCTTTGCTTCGGGATATTTTTATCATAATTTGGGTTAAATGAGTGGAGATTTTGGAAAGCAGTACATATTTGGTAAAGTGGTACAAATATTTACAAGTTAATTACTCCCTCTGTCCAAAAAGTATTGTCCTGTTTAGATTTTTACTTTTATTATAAATTTAACTAAAAGTAAAAATTCAAACCGCACAATAATTTTAAGACAGAGGGAGAACATAATTGTACAAGTAAATTGTGTAATTGTTTGAGGAAAAGAAAAAGGCTTCATTCAATCATTCTATATTAAGTGTTATTTTGAGAATATACTGTGGTGAGATAAGACACTTGTAATAGTTTGTCGATTTCTCTTTTGAACGTAGAATGATGAGTACATTGATACGATGAATATGTGGAATGGTTGGAAGTGGCTATTTAGAAGAGTGATTGTTATTGTTGGATAATGAAAATTGCATTTTATAGTAGTAGATCGAAATGTGTCATTGCGAGGTGTCGCCTCAAAGTGTGAAATATCACGAAGAAAAAATTTGTGCAGTATTTATACAATATTTTTATCATAAAAAGCAATGATAGTACGTCGATGAATTGAATAATTGTTTAAAAGATTTAAAGCTAATCAATACTCAGTAGGAGTTTTGAACTACATTGTTGTAATAAAATAAAAATACTGTACGTCGAACAAGGAAGAAAAACGAGCAAAAACAGTCCGGGAAATTATATCAATCCCTCTTGGAAATTGCATAAACTAATCTGAAGGCAATCAACTAATATTCTCTACATGAATCTATCTAAAATTCTAAACTATAATCATCTCATTAAATGAATCAATGTAGCCAATTAAGCTACGGACAAACAGAAGTTATGTGGACAAGTGGGAATGTATTTTCCTCAACATAGGAGAAGTCTTCAAGGCCGTTAAATGATGAATCCTTCTCAATCTTAATATTTTCGCACCTTTTTGTTGAGGGATAAAAAAAGTTGATATTGTACGAAGACGACGAAGTAGCCGGAATTTCGTATGTGACCCTCCTTCCATCGGGAAGTATACCCAAAGCAATAGTAGTAGGATTAGAATAAACAACATTGTCGTTCTCCGGTGACTCCAATATCTCTTCAGACCAAACTCCATTCCTAGTAGGGTTGTGATGTAGAATCTTACAAGATTTCTGCCCGGATCTTGTGACTGCTATATTAGGTCCAAAATTCATTCGCTTAACCGCAGAGGGTAAGGGATGGATGGCAACTAACTTCTCTTCGTGCAATTCAAAAGCCCGAATTCGATCGGATCCTATCCAACAAAGGAGTCCATCAAAGCACGAAGCTTGAGTCGTAAAGATTTCGTCAGGTTGGCGTAGCTCGGCATTAAGGATCCTCCATGAAGAATCCAACCCAATTGTGAGAATTGCGGTGTAAGGAAAAGAACTCTTGAGTAATTTGTACCTTTTGGTCACCTCATCGAAACCCAAGTGAGTCTTATCGGAGCTCAAAACATTAGTCGGGAAGTCAGGAAGTTTGACCATCTCTCTGGTGGTAATGTTATAAAGCCACGATTTTTCTCCACATTCGTGTAGTGAAAACACATCAAACCATTCACCACAGTCGTGTATGATTTCGCTTCGTGCCCGCCGTAACCCATGATACAATGTGGAACAATTCGGTGGGTAATGATCATGGCGTTATCGCCTTGGCCACTGTCGTCACCTTCGCCGCTGTCGCCGAGACTCGCGAACGTGAAGCGCGTGTGGTCGTGAAAGGACCTCAAGGACAGGAAACAGGATCCACCATGCCGCGGCGGCAGAGAATGGCGGCAGTGGTAGGCGGTGAGGAAATACGGGTGGGTGGTTATTGATAGCCAAGTTGTAGACACGCATCGGAATTGCAGCAAGCTCTTCACGGGAACCCTTTTCAGGATTTCTTCAACCGAATCGTCTGGAATCATCGGAGCCGTAGCTACATCCGTGGAATAGAACCGGCGATGTGTTTTTGGAAGGAACATTTCTAATACAAACCTGAGGATGTGTTTGAGATTAGGAATCTGAAAGACTAATAAATATTACTCCCAGGGAGTAATATATTTACAGGTGCGACATAACGCACGAGGTTCTAATCTATTTTAGAAACGGAGTATACAATTTTTTATTTTTTTTAAAAAAAAAAACCCTCCTAATTTTAATAATAAAGTTATAAATATGACCGCGAATGCGTACAATGGAGTTGTTCGAAAAGGAAATTACCACAAAGTTTCCAATTACATTATCCAAATTTTAATTGGAAAAGCATATATGTATATACATATATATATATAGGGAAATTCTATGACCCGATTTTTTACTTAACCATTCAGTTAAAACCTATCCAATAAAAGTGAAGCACACCATAAGCTATAATGGGGTGTGCAACATCATAAAAAAAACCTATTTTAAATAACCTTGCTTAAGTTATTATACCAAATTAATTTGTGAGCAGTTAATCTGGTATTTTACTATGACTACTTGATATCAATTCAAGACAAGAAACTGGATTGAAATATTCCGATATAAAATCTGAGATTTCTTCATCACTGTATTTTTGAGGAGTAAAAACCAAAAAGGGCGTAATATAGAAGATCTTACATTTCATACTTTGCTTTTAATTTGGATCAAAATTCAATAATTAAAAATCCAATTCAGACAATGAGCACCACCCCCATCAAAATATTCCTACATCTTCACGAAACTGGTTTTGGAGAGATTATATTGATAAAGTTTTTCGATGCTTTCCTGCACCCAAAATTTCAATCTTATGCGAAAGTTTGTAATTTTAACCAGAACAGAGTCGATGAATCGCCGTCTGCAGCCTCTTCTCTCTCCGTTGAACAAAATAAATTACCAACATCCGCCGTTAGTGTGTTTCTCCCCTTCCCGGCACTTATGGCTTCAACAAATGCTTCCCAAAAAAAGAGAATCAATATAAACACTATGAGATATGCAGTTAGAACCCTTCCAAAATGGAGAAAATCGCACCCCCAAAGTTGCCCAGAAATCTGACACCTTCAATGGAGAAGGAGAAGAAGACCAAGAAGAAAGTCAGCCATTGTTCGATAAAGAAAACCATGATAATGAATATTCTATCTACCTTCTCTTAACTCTAAAGAATATCCTTCCCGAAGAGCTTTCTATCACGCCTCATAAAATCCCTCTTCCGTAACCTCCACACTCTTTCTTCAACAATCATCAAGAGAATAACATCTGCCTTATAATTGATGATCATCGCACCAAATTTCCTGGCGAAATTGCTCTGAAGGAAAACAAATCCAAAAAATATCTTTAATCTATTGAATTCTCAAGCTCTCGAAGCTCAAATTAGACTGTAAATTCTTTGGGGGAAGGCGAAATCTCTACAATTTGTTCGGCCTATTGTAGACAAAAATATTGCCCCTTTACTTCGATAAGACAAGAAAGAGGGAAGGAAAAAAGAAAAAAGTTGATTATAAACTCTTCAAGGTGGAAACAATTTTGTAATTTTAGAGTTTTTGATGGTTTAGATTATTTTACAGTACATCCTACCTAATCTTATGGTGATGGAGGCTCTTTGTAATCTAACGGTCAATGTTTATGACTGAACTGTTCAGTCGACTGGATCATAATCGCTCCCGACGGAAAATCGAAATAGTAAAAAAAATGGAGGCCATTTGGTATACAAAGATTTCTAAAAACTTCTTCCCTTTCTCTGAGACTCCCCCTCCATGCAACGGTAAGGTGATTCTGGCATTTTGATTTTCTCTGTGAAAAGACGCTGACTTATATTTTTCTCGGTCAACGCTTAATTACCCGTCCTGGATAAAGATAAATTCTTTTTAAGTCTCCCTAGCCGCATAATAATCTTTCGCAATTAGGTTATTTTTGCCTGATTAAAGAAGATAATAGCCGGTAATTTTTTTGTTCTGTTTACTTTTGCGGATTGATTGATAAGCTTTATTTTACAGTCTTGAAAATTTTGAACTTAAATGTTTGCTTTCTGGGTGAAATGTTGCTTTGTTTGGACAAGCACTCTTTTACATTTTAACTCATTTTACCTCTTAAACACAAAATCCAACGAAAAAGAAAATATCATCCAAACAACTTTCTGATTTGCATTTTAAATTCCAACTTGAAATACTTTTTGTTAGTGTAATGACCATTTTAGAACTACAAATAGTTTAGTGATAAACAGGATTCCGTTGTTGAGTGATTATTTTTGGAAAAGTTAGTTTTTGCAGTGACTATAATTGACAGTATTTAATTGTTTAGTGATGACTCATACTTGATATTTTCAAAATGTAGTTCAAAATATTTTTTTCAAAACCAATATCGAAACAACTTTTTGCTTACAATACCATCCAAACAACATTTTCATTTCCCATTTAGTTTTCAACTTGAAATACTTTCTATTTTTAAGTGGTAAAATGAAATGTAAGATCACGTCAAAACAAGCACTTAAATTTTAGTAAAACATGTCCTTTCTATGAAGTGTGGTGCTTCACCTTTCAATTTCATAAAATACTGTCAGGTCTTCGAATCGAACTGACTCTACTAAAGATGATGGGTGGAGTACTTTGGTTGAATCTAAGCGCAATAAAGTTATAAGGAGGAGCTAATAAATTATACTAAATCTCAAGGTTATGGTGGCCTTATATAGTTCGGGCTCTTGGAGGTACATTTCGATGGTGTTGCAATCTTTGAGAGTGTTTTGTCTTCCTCCTTTCTTTCCTAATGTTTTTGTACCAACGATCGTCATTTTTTTGGGGGCATATTCTTCGGTTGCAAAAAATGATAGGTAGCTCACCTAAATAACGTACCTTATCATTTCATCTGGCATTTATTGATTGGGCAATGCATTTGTTACTTAATCTAAATAAATTAAGTTAAAATATTATTATATTTCATATTAATATTCAGCCTATTTATTATATTTTATTTAGTTATAATTTTACTTTTTTAGGGGTTAGGGTCTATTTATTTTAAAATTTTAAATATATAAGTATAAAAAGAATGATTATGAAGTATAATACTCCCTTTGTTCCAAATTATTGTGAAGTTTGAATTTTTACTTTTAATTTAAAACTAAAATTCAAACTGGACAATAATTTCGAAACGGAAGGATTACTAAAATAGCATGCATCTTATCTCATGCTACTCGTAGGTCATAGGAGAGTTAAACCAAAGGGAAACTAATGAACAGGAAAATTTATGGCGGACCTAATTGATTAAGATTTGCTTTAGAATATATATATATATATATATATATATAAATTAGTATATGCAACGCGTTTTAGATATTATTATATTAAGATTTTAGTGATATTAAATCTCGGTGGAAGGTTTTAACATAAACGGTCTATAGATATTATTGAAATGTAATTTTATATGAAAACGCTCTAATATATTTAAGTATAACCACAATAGTCATATTAAGTAATATTTTAATTAAATAATTGCGCAAAACTCGCTATATTATAACTGATAAAAATGTGAGAATTACTTCATATTCTTATGTTTAAGAGCGCTTCCTTAAAAATAATATTAGTCATGCCACTGAAAAATTCTCTTTCTTTTGTTGCAAATGAGGACTTTAATATCTTTTTAGACTTCACCTTATATAGCACAATACAAAACTGAGCATATGTAAAGAATGGAAGCACAATAACAAACCCACCCACATTGCAGAGATTGAGTAATATTTTAGTTTAAGAGTTTAAATACTAATAACACTTTTGTCAAGAGATTCCAATGGTCATTCTTAAACTAATACCATATAAATAGTATTGTCTCATACTAAGGGTTTTCTATATTTTCTAATCTCGATGTTCTTCGCAAGTATAAGTGTATCCACGTCATTTATGCCAAATGAGTTTAATTACTATATATTGTAAAGATAGAATGAATCGGACATGCATACTATACCATTGTTTTACAATCAATAGTCGACTGATTACACAATACCAAACATAATTATTTTATATTCTATAAATTTCATGAAAAATTACAAATAAAATTTCTAACCAATGTAAAACCAGGCCACTTTCATGAGTGACTGGTATTTTACTGTTATTTATTGTCATACCAAATACGCAATAAATGAATGTTCATTTACAAAAGAAAGAAATTAAAATAACGTTATGCATGAGTCCAAGTTTTAAGTGTCTGATGACCAAAAAAGAGCGAGATGACATTCAAAGCTGGGATTTGCTCCAAACTCTTACTTTTATTAAACTTCATTCATGGAGGAACATTGTGAGACATTAAATCACTCACTCAACCTTTAGTATCATTAATTTAAGTTTACTAATCAGGTGGCAAATTACACAATCTCAAACCACAATCATTTAACTAGTTAAATGGTTTATGTTAAAAAAAAATAGAAATCCCAATATCCTATTCTTTAAAAAAGCACAATTTATTCAAAAATTTAATTTACATAATTTTTAAAATTTAATTCAAAAACTACAAAAATTTAATTTATGTTGTAAAGATGGAATGATTAGAACATGCATACTATAGCA